GTTTGGCCTAGTTAAGAAGAACATTTCGGACATGCTACAAGCCCGCGCTAGATAAAAGTCTTACAAGCGAAAACCGGAAATGCACTTTACGACCGTTTTCGACCGAAAATGTTCGGTGGCTGAAAATTCGGTGCACCCCCAATTTTCACAATATATGTCTGTGTTGTAGAAAGTATACTATACTTGATGTCTTGCTAATAGACCATTGAAATTCAATTCCAGAATTGGGACTAGTACAGGGGGTCCTTGACTGACTTACGCCTGGGAGCCATAATGAAGGGCAAAAAATTCCCCAAAAAATAACATGAAACAAATAAAGTGAATATAGCATAATTCAATGTATGGCCAACAACTGGCAAATGTGAACAAAGCCTTCTTTAACGTACAATGCAGCATGATGAAGAATAATTCCTGTTTTAACACCATATGTTGGAATGATGGAACAAGAAACAAGAAATGGCGACGTTATCATGAAACGCTGTAGGTCTAGGACCCCCTGCTGTTATATGATATAATATCACCCAATGGCTACCATCTGCTGACTGTTACATCTGTGTGTAATAACCATTATCTCTGAATAGAAAGGCAGTAGTTTAGGATAATTTTGATTAATCAAGTTAGACTCCTGCAGACAGGAGACGGGTGAACCACAGAAGCAGTACTTCTTATATCAGTGACAGAATTGGTGAGTACACCTCTCCATCGCTGCCTCTGGAGTTGCATAAGTGTGCACACACACCTTTCCTGAGTGTCCACTGTTATACTCTTTTTATCCTCCTGTAGCATCCTCTCTATTCTGAGCCACTCCCTCTGCGGTCAGACGGAAACTGGCACTTCAGCATATTGCAGCATACTGTGGGCCCTCTCAGATCCACAAACAGAAACCACACAGACACACTTACACCTATATGTTGTACTACTAACCTATATAATTAAAATTCAATCAATTTCATCAAAAATTAGAACTGCTTTTTAGTTTCACAACAGAAAGGTCTTATATTAATGCAAAAACATTTCTGTGAAAGGCCAATGAGCCTTCTAAACTGA